AATCTATTTTGATCATGGAGGTTAATAATGCTGAAAAGCACTCAGAGTATATAATGCTGCAGAAGAAATGAAAGTTCTATGTTTTATGTCTAGGACATGACTAGTAATGTATCTGCTGGGAAAGCTGCCATTCAGAATGCAACAATGAAAATTGAATTTCATCAGTTCTTATCCATTCATCCCTTCCCCCACTCTACTCTAGCCCATGCCTTTTATTTAACATGGGAAAGGAGCCTTCAGAGCCCAGACCTGAGCATGCTGGTGGCTTCATGCTTTCTGGGCTGTCACTATTGTGTAGTGCCTTACACATTTGTCTACACAGTAGAATTACGTGGGTGCTTTAAAGCAGGATTCAGTATTGTTCAGAAGCCATGTCCATGGTTTCAGTATACATTCAGGAATGAGAATAACTGTAGTGCAACCTCTGAACCTTTCATGAATTAGTTTTGCTCACAACAAGTATAAGGCAAGAGCAGGGCAGATTCTTGTTCTCAATCATGCTCTCATTCTCTTTTCCCTTCCTTTCTCCTCTTTGAATGAAAGTCATTCCTATAATACACATTGTGCATTATAAGCATGGGTTTGAAGTTCCAGGCTTCAGCTATTACCCTGAGAAGTTTACTTTAGTACTCTTGGTCTTTAGCATCCTTGCCAAAGTCAATTTCTGCCTCATGGTGTTTTTGGAAACATTAAACAAGCAATTTAATCTCAAGCTCTTGGTTGCAATACTCAGCACACAGTAATGCTTAGTAAGTTCTATTTTACAGGGTACAGAATTTTCAGTGTTCTCATACTTAGTGTTCCATCATATTTTCAACACAATTCTTTGTCCTTTGTAAGTCTAGAATTGCCTACCCCATTTTATAGTAGAAGACCCTGGGATTCAGGAAACATGATGCTTATCCTCCAACACATGGACTTTCTTGGGGGTTTTCTTGCTTATGAGGAAAATGTACAGTGTCTGGGAAATAACTGTTCTTTCTCATTGCTGCTTTGGCCAGGATAAGAAGCAACTCATCTCTGATATATCCCTTGTCTCTTATGCAAAATCCAAGTAGTAACTGTGAAACAATTCCAAAGGAATATTTCAGGAGGAAAAAGTTGATTGTCAGCTCCCTTAGCTTCTGTTTACAGTTCCCATTTTTACAATTGATCTGATTAAAAGTGAACTTTCAGATAAAAGATTTGTTATCAGTTATATTATCTCATTATTTTAAATGTTATAATCATGGAATGCAAAGAGAGTATGTTTGTCTCATCATTTTGAAGAGAATATTTAAGCTTTTAGGTTATAATTTAATGGAAGGATTCTAAAAAGTGCTAGTTTGTACCACTTAGGGAATAGCTACACTTATATATATACATATATATATATATATATGTATATATATATAGAAGAAATTCCAACTATCTTGAATCAATTCACTTAATTATATTTGAGACTAAATTTTTATTTTTGTTCTGTTCCTTTTTCCAAAGTTGTATGAGTTATATATAGGTTTGGCCCAATATACAAAGAAAAGTATCAAAAGAAAGCTCCTGGGAGATACATTTAGTGTTGTTTACCCAAGTTACAAAAACAGCACTAGATTCAATCTTTCACTCAAGCAACTCCCTGGTCAACAATGTTGCCAAATTAAGAGATTAAGAATTATGATGAAGGAAATACCATATCACCTCTAGTAACAGGCAATGAAGAGAGTGAAGCTTAAGTTATCAACGTCCTTTTGAGTCTGAATCACTGATCATGGCTATTATATGGTGTGTAAATTTAAAAACATGCACACACATGTGTTATAAACTTACATGAGATTACTAAAGGGGAAGACTATGAAGAAGAAAGCAGTTGTTATAGAGTTACTACACACTCAACCTTGAGAATCATTTGGCGCTCAGTAAAATTAGTTATTCCTTCAATAAGTTATCTGATTTGTTTAAAACTTATTTTACTCATTTCTTAATTGGATTCATATCAATTTATTACATTTCATGGTAGACAAAATGGAACAAAACATATTAATTACTTTGCTTTTTGTTCATGGTCAACTCTCAAATGTTTCACTTATTCAAAGAATTCATCAACCAGTTGGGAATCGGAGTTCTGAATCCAGGTACCTGACACTGATTCCTGTAATTCTCTTCACTTAGTTCTGAGACCTCTACAGTGTTAAATTAAGGTAAGTGTTAGTTTCTGTATCCAGGTGAATTCTGAAAATGAGCTCTTGCTAAAAATCAACTTATTTGCCTACTTCCTAATGTCTCTTGAAAAGAGATGCCTTATGGTGATGACCTTATAGGAGGAAAAAGATGGAAAGTTGCATGACTTGCTATTTAGAAAATAATCCAATTTTCTGGAAATGTTGCTCAGTAGTTAAAAGCCCTGGCTGATCAACCAAGACCAAGTTTTGATTCTCAGCACTCATGCAGTAGCTCACATCTGTCTGTAGCTATAATTCAAGAGGATCTAACTCTCTCTTCTGGACTCCACAGTCACCAGGCACACAGAGTGGTGCTCAGACATACATGCAGAAAAAACATGCACACATATAAAAAGTAGGAAAGATAATAAATTAAAAACAAACACAAAGTCAAACAAATCCTGCAAGTTTAAAACCAACAGAGACTAGTGATTGTGCTTCATGTAGTTAGAAAGTTTTCTTTAGCTCAGTGGCTAGAAGGATGTTTACTGAGGTCTGACATGAACTTCAGCAGCTGAGTATGAAGCCTGAAGGTCCAATTAGCCCCTAAGAGAATTTCCTAAGTGACAAAGGATCCATAGCTTCAAAGCAGTGGAGAGAGGAGGTTACAAGGTCAGATGCTTTCATAAGGGGTCCTTTCTAAACAACATCTGGTTAGTATTAACCAAGGTAGGCACAACCCCAGGAGAGCTTGTATAGAGTTTCTCTGCTAAATGACTGAGTTTTCTCTTCTTTATAGCAGCCATGTTTTCAAGAGGTGTATTTACTTCTAAAAAAAAACTTCCTCATTACATGTTTCAATCACTCCTTGAAAGAAGTGTTCAGTAGATGCCTAGTGACATACTGGTATCTTGGTCCTGACCAGCACATTGTCTGCATTTCAGAATGCCTTTGTATCTTCTTTAAGTCAATTGTGGTGAGTGAAGAAGAGCACATTTTAGAATACTTTTGCTTTGCTGTAAAAACAAGGAATTTATAAACATGCCAGTATAAAAGAGGGCCTAGGGGATCATTACTGAAAGCATAAAAGACTAATTTCCTCCATAAAATGACAGCAATAAAAGCCTTGTAAATATGGGTCTCCACGGACATTTCAAAATCACATATTTTTAAAAACTCTCAGTCTAGTAGAGTCTATTATATATTTAACAGAGTAAATTACTAACTCATTGTCTATTCATGTGCTTGATCCAAGGCAACATACACCAAAACAGGAGCTAACAAAAGGAAAATGGGTATGAGGGAAAGAAAGAGGAAAGGAAGGAGAAAAGAAAGGAAGGAAGAAAGGAAGGAAGAAGGGAGGGAGGTAAGAAGGAAAGACAAAATTAGGGTGATGGTTGATAAAAGATGCAACTAACAGTGTATGAAAGTTTAGAAGATAAGTAAGGGTGATGTGGAACATGACAATTTAATAAATTTCAGTTATAGAGTTCAAGTTTGAATATAAGCTCTAATTTTTAGATGGGGAGGACATCTGATGTTGCTGCAATGATAAACGGCATACTTGTTGAAGGTATAGGTAATAGTTTATTGTAGAAATTACTTACAAGAGAAAACGGGCAACCCAGATGAGTCAAGTCTTTCACTACCAAACCGGAAGCCTAAAAGAGGGTGAGAGGCTCTGCTGCTTGATCTTTTATTCCTCCCAGCATACACACCTCTAGCCATGCCCAAGAGTGGTTCTGGCTAATGGCATAGTTCACTGTCCTGTCTCTAGTTATGCCCAAACTGGGTGTGGTTAGCAGCACAGTTCTGCCCTTTCGTTACCATATCTGTATATATCTCTAGAGCGCCACGTGGCTAATGGTGGAGTCCTAAGTTTTCTCCTACAATTCCCCTTTTAGTCTAAAAAAGATATTTAAACTTAAAACAAAACTAACTGTGTCAATGAACTAAATGTATCAAACATCTATCCCATCTAAACATGTTCTAGTGTTGATTGAAGCTCTCGTCTGAAGCTCTAGCCAGATTGTAGAAGTTTCACTGTATCAGTTCCTTGGTTTAGAGATGTGTCCAGTGATGTAGTTTCAAGCTGGTTTCAGGATGGTGCTTGTCAGGTGGAGTCGATGGTTTGGGGCAGTTCAGATGCATCCAGTCGAATCAGGTGGAGTCAATGAAGTGGAGCCCCAATCTCTTTCTGAAGCAGTTGAACATTGCTGTCAGGAAATCCCTTGTTCTCTGGAAAACACAAACATTAATGTTAACAAAGAATTTTTTAAATTTTTATATGTATGCATACTGGAAAAGGTGACAATAGGGAAGATGGTAAACATGAAGGAGATTAGACTTTTCAGAAAAAGAAATCCACAGATAACAGTCCCTAATTTTATGTTCTTCTGTCTTATATCAATGGCTCTTTGATATAGTACAGAAATTCTGAATTTTATTTAACAATATGCTTGAATTTAGAGTAGGAGAGCCAATCCAGCTCCAAAGCCAGCTTCAGTTAAATGAATGGGGACTAAAGCATATTAAGAAACAAAGAGAAATGGGTATTACAGAAACAATATAGAGAGATTTAGACTTTGATACCACACAGTGAGTTATTGTTTGTTTGATGGTCCTCGGGGTAGCTATTCATTCTTCTTCAGGAAACCATACGTCCAGTATTTTCTGTTGAGTTTTCCTGTGAAGACAAAAAACAAAACATTTCTCTTTCCTTTTATGAGGTCACTTTACCCATGGTAGAATATGACTTTGTAGATGAGCTGCTATCTTTCCTTCTCCTGAGATGTCTTCTGTTCGGATCTGTCTTCTGCTCGGATCGAATCTTGATTAATTTCGATGTAACCCAAAGTTTTTAAAAATATGGAACGCTTTACAAATTTGCATGTCATCCTTGCACAGGGGCCATGCTAATCTTCTTGGTATCGTTCCAATTTTAGTATATGTGCTGCCGAAGGGTTTCAGAAAAAATTACATTTTCACTCATTTCTGAAGTACCCCATTCTAGATGAACAATGCTAAGTTAACTGTGTGGAGCCTTGTATAATACTGGCCAGAAGGGTTCCAACTGGAGCAAAAGAGGACAATGCCAGTAAATACACTTGGAGAAATATTTAAAGCGTTTCTGTTTTCCAAGCACATTCAGTGCATCTTGTGTTGAAAATTAGAATTTGTTAAGGTGGAGATCACAGAGCCTGGTCTCCTACTCTGAAGCAATCAGGCTGTTGGTTTGCTTTGGCCTGTATCTCAGAATGTATGTATTCATTCCCTAGAAAGTTCAGGTCTGAAGTGTTGTCTAGGGTGAGGGAATCTAACTTAATCTTGCTGGCTGTGTGTCTCTGTTCCCCTTCTATTTCACAATCCAACCTTACTCATACACTTTCCAGCTATTTTTTTTAGGTCTGAATATGAGGAAGAGAGAAGGGGAATGAGTTGGACAAATGCTCTTTTTTTTCACTCGCTTAAAAATAAGTGAGCTTCAGTTGCTTGCAGATGAGAAGAACAATACTTTTCCTTATTTGGGAAGAGGCACTCTCTGATGGAATTATTTTTCTGAGAAAATGAGAATGCATATATTCATTTGGCTTCACACTTTATTATTTAGCCTTCATTTTCAACTTTTCACAGTGCTGTCAACTGCTCCAAAGGACCTTCACTGGGCTGATTCTGGCATCGATGCAGATTACATTAGTGTAAATTTTGGTTTTCCATTGCCTGCTGTTTTTGCAGTAACGTGCAGTTTTATTCTCAATGGTATCATTAGCACCTGCTCTCCTTGGTTGCTGATGGGTGACTATAGAAAGCCCCCAAGCATATAGTAATTTACACTGTTGACTCTCCCTGCAGGTAATTCATCTTCGTGATCTGTCATCTTCTTCATTTAGTGCCTTAACCCTCTCACTGCTCTTACAGAGTTGTCTTGCCTAAAGTCAATTGATTTTTCAGACTTTAATAATATTAGGGAGATAAGGAATCTAACAGATAATCTCATTAGTATATTTTTTCTTTCTGGATGAGAAAAGTATAGGTAATAAAAGTTAAATAATTTGTTAGAACTCAGCCTAGACCCTGTTTCCCAGTCCTCATTGAACATTCTTCTTTTAATGCTAAATGTTTTTGAGAGCCCTATATGTGAGCACTCTATCTATGCCACTCCCACTCTTTCCTCCCATGAAAGTCCTCCTTTTTCCTTCCCAAACTCATCATCTTCTCTTTGATTATTATTGTTGCAAGTATGAACAATATACTGAGTCTATATGATATTGCTCATATATACATGTGTACAGGGCTGAACTTCAGGGTGTATGGTCCCTTGTAATGAGTCTGCTTGTAGCCGTGACACTGAGGGGCAGTTCATTGAACAGTCCTCTCTGAATAAAACTGAAGAGAGCTAAAATAAAGGGTTGCAGAAAATTTCATAGTGCATTATGTATTAATCCTAAGTCTCACGTATATTGCATTTCCTTAAATACATTTACTCCTTACTAAAGGATCAATTGACCATTCTTCATTTTTTGTCTCCTTTGTTCCATGTATCTGTCAGTCATCACTCTTGCTCAACATTGTTTTTAAGAACGTCTCAAAATCTTTCCACAGTTCCTTTTCCCAAATCTGTCACATACCTTCTGCTTTTTAGATTAGAATGCAGTTTCTCAGCTGTGTTCTGTATACCCTATGTATCAGTTACTTTTTTTGTGGCCATGACTCATTTGCACAGCAAATATTTAATGTGTTAGGCCTTATCGCTAGCTAGTATCCATTCTTTCTTTTCAAAAATAAAATTTTCTTTATACAATGTATTCTGATTTTGGTTTCCACTTCTCCAACTCCTCCAAGATTCTTCCCCATCCCTCTACTCACCCAAATATACACCCTGTCTTGTTCCCTATCATTAGAAAAAAAGAATTTAAAAGAATAAATAATAAAATAAAATAAAACAAACTGGAATAGGACAAAACAAACAAATGAACAAAAAAAAGAACCAAAGAAAAAGCACAAGAATCATGTACAGATGTAGAGTCACACATTCCCACACAGAAATCTCATAAAAACACAAAACAAACCATATTATACAAGCAAAGCCTATAAGGTTAAAAACAAACAAGCAAAAAAGTAACTAACCAGCGAATCAAATGAATAAATAATTCCTAAACAAAACATTATGAGACAAAAAAAGGAAACTTCCAAAATAAACTTGAGTTCCTTTTGTGTTGGTCTTCTACTTCTGGGCATGGAGCCTGCCCTTAAGATTGATTTGTATACCCACTAAGACTCTGTTGGAGAGAACTGATTTTTTTCCTTTGTGAATAGTTGTTAATTGGAGATCACTTCTAGGTTAGGGATAGGGCAGTGTCTGTCTCTCCTCCTCTCAGCACAGGCTGACTTGGCTTAGGCACACTTGCCTTAGACTTGTGATGTCCCTGTGCATGCCGCCTGAGTCTCTGTGAGTTCATGTGTTCATCAATCCTGCAATGTCTAGAAGGCTGTGCATTCTTGGTGTTTTCCATTACCTCTGGCTCTTACAATCTTTCTATTTCCTCTTCCAGAGAGTTCCGGAAGGGTTTTGATGGAGACATCCTATTTAGGACTGCATTTTCCAAGGTTTCTCACTCTCTTCCCATTGTCTAAATTGTGGGCCTCTGTATTTGTTTCCATCACAAGGAAGCTTCTCTGATGATATCTGAGCAAGACACAGGCCTCAGTAGAGCAGAATGTTGTTAGGAGTCATTTTATTGCTATGTATAATAATTGTATTTATTTTCTTTCCTATGTCCATGGACTATATAGTTTCATGTTCATGGCCACCTGAGCAGGTTCAGACATGGGTTCCTTCTCATGGAGTGTCTCTTAGATTCAATAAGGTATCAGTTGGTTACTTGAACTTTGGGGCTACTTCTGAATCATTGTATCTTTCACTGTCTCCTTTCCTAAACCATGAACCAAAGTAAATCTTTTCTCCTTTGAGTTACTTTCCAGGTATTTCATCCTTGCATTGGAAAAGTAACTAACACACTATGCTTTCCCCAGAATTCTCTTCACTAAATGTTTTTTTAAACCTCTAATTTCTTTCTGTTAGAATGTAGGAACTTTCCATGGCAGAAATCTTATATGATTTGTATTTCCATTAATAGTATATTATGTAGTAAATGTATTTAAGTTAGATCATATTTATGTTCTTGGACTTTTTAGGGGATTTAAACCTAATTGAGGATTCCTTCTTTAACACTAACTGGATGACATTATAGTAATTGTTCAATCTTTCTGGGTATTTATCAGTTCAATGGTAGTAGAAGTACTTGCTCTACCTATGTGGCAAAACTTCTTTGAGGACAACATGTTAGTGGTGTAAAGATTCCAGGTACTTGAGAAACAATAAATATTAAATAGAATTTGCATGCTACATACAGGAGCGAGCAACTCCTAGTATAGGAAAAAGTTTGGTTGCTGCCTTTCTGTCTATTCTCAGCTGAATTGGTATGATGCCCTGGGGAGTCCACAGAATCTAGGTATGCAGCTGGTTTTCCTCCTACTGGTGGATATTGTCAGCCCTCCCTTGTATCCCATTCCCATTCCTTTGTGCTGATTCCTAAAATTATTTTCCACCTGAGACAGTCAGTGGCCACACTGGGCTGGGACTCAGGGAGGCAAGTTTCATTCTCTTTCATTTCCTCCATAATGGTATCACTGGGCTCACTCCCATCCATGTAGCATTCCTCATGCAAGTGCCACTCCTCACACCCTACCTCCATTCTCTGTAGACTCCACCAAATGTAAGTGTAGGAACCAATCCTTGCCTTCTGATGGATCCATTAAGTCCTCTTTTCTAGCCCATTCAAAGTCCTTTGTGTCACCTATGGGAGCATACATGTACTCCCTACCCCGGGCCCTCAGTAGTCATGCTAGTCCTGGACTCAGCAAGTGATTTTCATTCTCGTTCCTGTCCTCCATTACAGTATCCCCAGTTTCACCACAACACTGTAGCAGAGTCCTTAATGTTGTCCCTTCCACACCCTTCTTCCATTTCATCTCATGTACAACCCAGCGGCACTGAACCATTTACTGCAGCCCATGTGTACTCCGATTTTCAAGTCACTGCAGAGCAAAGATACACCTCCTAGCATTGTTTAAAACTCCCCCTACAGAACTAATAGAATTGTGAAGCAGCTAGCTATAATGTTAAGTACATTATTTATTATCATCATCATCACCACCATCATCATCATTTGTAGCATGGATAGAGATGTGTGGTTTTCAGGACTAAATAGGTCAGCATGCAGTCATTAGGGATCTACCTCCTTTTATTTTCCATTCTTAAGGTAAACTAAGAGTTCTACACACCATGTGGAGATAATACAAGATAAAGAAAAAGAAGATTAAAAAATTTCTTACTTGGCTCCATTTTTAGCATCATCAATGATGCCATTCCATGATTTTTTCCCATCATCACTGGCAATCATTGCTTCATATGCTCATTTAGGAACAAGTCATTAGCAGCCAGAAGGTTTAGGCTATATAATAGATGCAGTGTGCCTAAGGTTCACCTCTATAGATTAGAATGGAGCTAGACCCTGACTTAAAACCCCTGCACATGGTTGCGAGGTAAATTATAGTGGGGGACTAGGTGATGGAGCTTAAAGAGGCAACAGATAGGGTCTATTAATCTCCTTACAAATTAGCCAGCTGACTTGAGGGAAACTATTTGGGAGCTATGTCCAAAGTAAAGATGGAAGTAAAAAAAAATCCCTATATGCATGCTTTCATTTTTTTTTGCCTTATCTTCTCTCTTTGTGGGAATTGTAACTAATATTCCTGTCATTATCAAATTTTCTTTGGAAATCCTATGTGCTTAAATATTATGTACATATTTTTCAATAAGAGACTTTGAACCTAGGACCACCCACATTCTGGGCAAACGCCCTTTCTGAGATGCACTCTTAACAACCACATTCTATTTTCATTTTAACCT